TTTAACCAGCTAGTTCAATTTTTATTTGGAACCTTATTGAGATGCCAGCTGAAATGAATCAAATCTCCAGTTGGAACTTGTTGCCAAAACAGGTTGAAACCCATTGCATTTCCAATTGGAACCTGTTCAGGTTCCAGCTGAAACCCATTGAATTTCCAATTGGAACCAGTTGGGCTTCCTATTGGAGATGTGCCAGTTCTGCTTCCAATTAAATCCCATTGGTTCCAGTTAGTGCCAATTGGAAGTCCCATCGGAACCAGTAAGTGCCAGTTGGAAGTCCAATTGGAACCAGTTAAGATCCAATTGGAAATGTTTTGCCAGTTGGAACCAATTAAATCCCATTTGTTCCAGTTAATACCAATTGGAATTTCAATTGGAGTTAATGAGATTTTTCAACTGGGCAGGCTCGGTGTAATCAGTAAATACAAGATGTTGATCATTGTTACCAGTGGCCGTCACTTGTAATGCCCGATTCTGCTTGCGATTTTCAGTATTGACGTCGACCATCTCAGCTACGGCCCACGCGTTTGCAACCCGAGCGACGTCGTCGCGACTGAAAATAGCGAGCAGAATCTCATCGCGCGAATCAGGTTTTAGCGCCCATTCTGCGGCGTCCCCGTGGAATGAATCGGCGCACGTCACATTATTCACGCGAAGTTTTGCGGTGTAACCAGCCTCGTTAATTTCGCTGAGGCCGCTCAAGCAGTCAGACATTGCCAGGAAGACGTAAAATCAACAATTCCAACGCGAGAAAGAGCACGGGGACTCACACCGACGCCGATAACATTGCATTTTAATGGTTTGTTTATGGGCAACAGCGCGCTTCTTGCCCACCCTCCATCGCGCATGCGCGGCGGCGGTGACGTCCGCTAGGGGCGCTCCGGTTTGATTGTTAACCATTAGTAAAATAGCGTAAAACAATAAGGAAAGGAAGGACGAGGTAGACAGGAAGGGCGCTAAACTGACAACTGACATTTAATACAGTCTTTAAAGGAGGAGAAGAACGAAGCAAGAAGTTACTGATGTTGTTGGTTAAAAGAAAGAAACGTACACCCTCAAAGTTGTTATACGTAAAAATTTAAAATAAAATGCATAAAAAAGGTGAGTTGCTGATAATATCTGTGACAGAAAAAACCGTAAAAAATAAGAAAGAAAGAAAGAAGGAAGCAATAATTTTGAAACAAGATTAGAAAATGCTTGAGATACACGATCGGAAATCGTAGATGATAAACATATGAAGTTTGAGACCAAAAAGGAACCTGAGGTTGCAGGCTGAATACTTGTCGTCAAGTCATACGATTAAGGTAGTGAAGTTCTTTTGGAGATAAGGCGATCGATGGGGCACTGATGCACACCGCCTCACGAGACACAATTGTTTGAGCTTCATACAGCTCGCGTATTCTTTTTGACCTAAAACGTCTTAGGATTTTGGTTTGGCTAAACACTGCTGAGCACATACAGTCCCTTGCATGTATTGCAAGATGGCCGGCTGGTGCAGATCACTGCATTAGTGTCGCGTCAGTGCATCTGACCAACAGGGAATTACAATTTCTCAATATACCGATCTCAGAGCCAGTTTGATTACGCCACCGCTGCCGCCATGCGTCGTGGGAGATGTAGTCTTTCTGCACGCGCGACAACCCCGCTGAGGGCCTGCGCGAGCAGAGCACGAGGCGGTACGAGCTGCCTCGTGAACCGGTGCCTGCCTCCTATGAACTACAGTGATGGCGGCGTCACGCATGCGTGGAACGCTTAGTGGGATCGGTCTATTGTGACCTCCCTTAGTATACTGTACACGCGAGCTGTAAAGGTCAAATTTGTGTCCTGAACGCGGTGTGCACGAGCTGCGAACGTATCCGTCACAAAAAAATGAATTGAGTTTCAATTAAAAGTGTAAAGGACTCACTCAATAGACAGCATTCAGTCTCAATTGAAACTCAATTGACTTTTTCTAATGAGTTCTTTTTGAACCGTACCAGGGAATTGGCCACCGAGTCTTAATTGAATTTTTAGCAATTGCATTTCAATTGAATTTTGGCAATAGTATTTCAATAGAACTTTTGCTATTGAGTTTCAATAAAAATATTGCAATTGAATTTCAATTGAAGTTTTGCAACGTGTTTCAATAGAATATATTACAACTGCGTTTAAAAAAATTTGCTACAGGTTGACATTTTTTTGTGTAGTTCCTTAAAGCATGCAACATGAAGGAAGCAAAGCACGTGGAGGAAACGAACACAAACATCATAAGTTCATAACTAAGCACTCACAACCCACTAAACGTACTCCCCTTGACTACCCCACCGCCTTATATACCCTACAAAAGAAAGGTATTCACTTGGCCGGTGACCACCTCAGCACTTATTAAGGTTCCCAGTTTGCTATTTCCTCCTTGGAAGTCTCATAAATGATAAACAGTGTTTCCAGGTCATTGGACTCTTCTATCCCTTAATAGAATAATAGAAAAACATTGGTTCAAGCAATAATCGTGCGGTGCAGTAATCCACAAACGACCAAACTCAATTGCATTCCTAATGAGTCAATTCTATAGAATCGATATTGAGTTTTTTATGACCAAACTCAATTCCCTTCCTAATGAGTAAATTTAATTGAATCGATATTGAGTTCTTAATGACCAAACTCAATTGCATTCCTAATAAGTAAGTTCAGTAGAATCGATATTGACTTTCTTATGATAAAACTCTATTGCATCCCTAATGAGTAAATTCATTAGAATTGATATTAAACTTCTAATGATCAAACTCAATTGCATTCCTAGTGAGTAAAGTCAATAGAATCCATATTGAGATTCTTATGATCAGTCTCAATTGCATGCCTAATGAGTAAATTCAATAAAATCAAAATTGAGTTTCTAATGATCACACTCATTACACATTGAGTTTATACTGAGTTTCAATTGACTCTATAGGAACACAATAGAAAGTCAATTGAAACTCATTGATCATTCTTGTAAGGGAGAGTGTACGCAGCGCATGATCTTATTGTTTTCTCTTGCCGCTGTCAGAATTTGAATATATTTTTTTAATATTTATTCTGGTCACGCGTTTTGCTACGTCCTTCTAGTGCCGCTGTTTCTTTCTTTATTAGCATTTATCTCTTTTGAAAGAGAAGGAAGAGCTTGTGCTTGCGCGAGCCACTGTGCGCGCTTGGAAGTTATAGTAAACCTTTGGTTGTTAGTCAGCGTATGTCCTGTGTCCTTCTACTTTGTGTCCTGTCCCTTTTGCACTGTTTGTCATTATGTAGTTCTTAAAGGAGCTGTACAACAATTTCAGGGCTTTGCTTTAATTATTGTGGAAGTTGATGCCTGACACTTCTGAAGTGAACAGATTTTGCCTGGATACCCTAGTTTTTATTTACAAAAATGAAAAAGATCCAGGTTTTTGGCGCCTCTCAACTCGTACGTCGTCTTCCGGGTCACGTGCGCAGTGACGTTGAGGGGGTAGGCGCGGGGTTCCGGAAAAGTTCTTTTTTTAGAGCCATCAGTGAGCAGCGAGAACTCCTCCGCTCGCGACCGCGTGACGACGTGCTGGCGGGCGCAGCGCGAACAATGTGGTGAAAGGAGGAAAGTCTTATCCGGGTCCGGCCATACCCGTCCGGCTCTCTCAAGGAGGTTAGGCTCTCTCCCCCTCTCCCTCCGGCTTCTGGCGGCTGTTCCATTTGGCTGTTCACGGTAGCAGATGGAGCTGATAGTTTTGTGGACCTAGGATGGATGTCGCCACTAAAACTCTGTATAATAAAAGCTTTGTCGATGATACCAGGTTTTTGACGCATATATATATATATGTTGGAAAGACAAGATTTATAGAAAAGTTACCTTTTATCGAGCAGGTATTCGCATAACTTGTTATCTTTCTACAAGATTCCCCAGTGACGTCACGCCGCGTGTTTCTCATGGCCGCCGCTCGCGGCTGCAGGTCGGGGAATACTCTTAAGTTTTGCCTCACTATTACGCGTCGGAATCGCAACATTTCGATGGAAGGAGGTGTGTTTCCTGTCATTTGTGACAAGATGAACAATATCAAAAGCAGAAGATGCCAATTCTTTCAACGTTAAAATCGTTGCATAACTCCTTTAATTAAGAGATTTGGTTGTTGGAGGAAAAAGGGATGATTTTGGCGCTGGAACATGTGCGCCTTGATAATATACCATATATGTAATCTAGAATTCACCAACATATATCTTAATTCCCCGCATAAAGGTGGAAATTGGGAATGGTTCGCGAGGAGTCGGACTTTTTATTATTAGGGTTCTTTACGTGAAAACGGATATAGAAGTTGTGTTCGAGACTCGTTCTCTTGTCCCTTTTTTTCGCCGTTCCGTGCCTCCGGTTACTGTGGAAGTTCTTCACCAGCTCGCCTGTGTTTTTACGCGTGTTATAACGGAATGAATCGTTTTGTAGACTGTAAAATGATTTAATGAAAACTTTGAGAAATACTTTTATACAAGATGTCTATATTCGCGTCCGTTTTCGTTTCTTTCGCTCGTGTTTCTAGGGGTCCTTTTTTCTCATCCCCAATCCCCACGCCGGGATCCATATCGGGGGTCGAAGTGGAGTTGGTCAGGCTTCGATCGCATCCGGTCGAGGGGGGAGGCTTTGCTTACGGGTCTTCGCCTTCGCGTCTTCGCGAATTTTGTTGATGTTGTTGTGATCCTCGGTCATGCGCTAGCCATCATGAACGGCGGCGTTGGCGGGAAGCGCGTGTAATCGGAGGATCTGCCGCGGTGCAAGGCGAGTCGGTTGCATAGCAATGCAATCGGTGCCAATCGCTGGTTGTTCGTAAAAAAAAAAGAAAAAAAAAGAACTAAAGTTGTGCGGCAGCTAGGCGGAAAGAAAAAAAAAAGCGTATTTCTTTTTTAGGTGTTTGCATTTTGTTTTCTAAATTCACAGGACTCTTTTCTCTCTATTTACCCCCCCCCCCCCCCAACCTCCACCCTTTCCCTCTTCCGCGCCATGCCGCCGCCGATCCTTTGACCCCCGCGCCGTCAATACGCCACCGCCGGAGGTACAAACACCGGCGCGCCGCCGCCGGCGATTTCTGTCCGGCGCACAGGTCAACCTCCTTGTCTACCTCCGACCTGCCTCCGACTCTCCCTCCGCGTCAGCTGGGGCCACTGGCGCGAACAAGTGTCTGCATAGTTTCGGAATCCTCGTTCTTCGCATTTCGTCGAAAGTGATTCCAAATTCGTACTAACAGACGGTCACAGTGGTAAGTCTTTATTTTGGCTCATTGCTATTTTCGTCGGACACCGGATTAAAAAAAAATATGTTATCGAAAACCATTTTAGCGACTGGCGATATGTTAGAACGCCATGAACGGTTTTGTTGACTCTAAGTCGATTTAATGAAAACTTTGAGAAATACTTTGATACAAGAGGGCTTCGCGTCCGTTTTCGTTCCTGTCATAGTTTCTCTTCGTCTCGTTCGCTTCCTGTTGCTCGTGTTTCTAGGCGGTCTAGGGGTCGTCTTCCTTTCCCATTCCCACGTCAAAATGCCGGCATCTGGTTGAGGCGCGGAGGCACTCACGATATTGTAGCGTATCCGCATCTTGTTGGGCCATACTGTACTTGGCGGGACCTTCTTGGTATAGCGTTGTCGAAGCTAGCGCAGATTCCTCGGTGCTTTTGTCCCGACCTGCTGCGAGAGGACGTGGCTTTGTTTTTTGCGTCTCATTCGCACTTGGCAGAGACGCACTGAAGCACTAGGAAATCTACGTCAGCTTCGACAACGTAGCACAAAATAGTGGACGCTGAGCACAGCTGCTGTTTGTGTCTCCTCTTATACCGTTTACTTATCTCGTCATTAGCACAGCAGGCCAGGTTATTGCCATTTTAGATCCTGCTGTGTCCTTCTCCCAGCTTTCGCCTTTGAGGAGGCTCGTCACTGCCCGCTTCAGTGGTTCGGTATCTCAGTAAGACAAGAAAAGGCCAGCAACAGCGGCTGTAATCTGGCGCCTGCGTAGAGCGTCTATAAATAGACTAGAACGAGATAACACGCTCTCCAGGCCCGAAGCACCCATCAAACAGTCGACCACTTACACTGCCGCGAAGGCATTTCGCTCGAACTACCAGATACGATATAATGAACAAAAAGTAAGGGCGCAAACGAGCTGGTGTAGAGCTGCAACGGAAAAAGAGTAGCACAAGTGACCGACGACCGGAGCGGCAAAATCGCGACACGCGGCGCTATTGTTCCCGAGCGCGCCGATAGCGAGAGTGCCAGTCACGTTCCATGTCTCAACGGGGGGGGATGGCCGGCAGAAAGCAGCCCATCCTAAAGCCCTCATTTTAACAGCTATCTTATCTCTCAATTTTCTGCCGGCCACCCCCGCGTTGAGACATGCAACGTGACTGGCACTCTCGCTATCGGCACGCTTGGGAACAAGAGCGCCGCGTGTCGCGATTTTGCCGCTCCGGTCATCGGCCACTTGTGCTACTCTTTTTCCGTTGAGGCTGTACATTACACATGGTTGAAACTTTTGAATAAATACCTTTAACCTTTGACTAAATACACATGGTATTTAGTCAAAGGTTACATTGGTGTACAGTGGCATTCTTTGGGGTTCTCACCGTCTCCCCCTTTTTTTCTTTTGTATCGAAGTGCCTATATAACCAGATTTCGGAAAATAAAAATTTCAGCTGTGCTAGAGACTTTTTAGTGTTGTGTCGTTTACCCGCAGTCTCGGGGTTTTTTCAACCATGTACGATATAGCAGCCAGATATAGAATGAAGGAAATGAAGCTTCCCCTATAGTTGACAACGGAACAAACGATCTCCAGGCTTAGTAATGTGTAGGGGTGTCGCGAAGTTTTGTCGAACCGAATTTTTAAGTCGACATTCGGGGTTCGACTGGGTGGAACCGGGTCGACGAACCTTTGAACTTTTCACCAAATTCGACCGGTTCGACTTTGTGGACAGTGCCAGACCTTGATACAAGCATGTCTAGGTTTGAAGAATTTTTTTTTTAAGCAAAGGGTTATTTTATATTTGTGAACAGCTGCAACTAAGGTGAACTAATTGTAATCACTGAAGAAGTTAATAACTTGATTTTTTGTACTGTATTGACTGAAATAATTAATTAGCGCTGCCCTTAATTCCTCCCTTAGCCATTACCATCCAATCCGAAGCCAACTGGCCAGCCACTCGCGCATGCGCACGCGAGTGGAACCTCAGTACAAGGTTCGTCGAACTTTCCACTAAACGTTCGAAAAAGTCGAACCTGGTCGAACTCGAACCTCGGCCGGTTCGCGACACCCCTAGTAATGTGAACAGCAGAATGGCACGGCACTCATTACTAGTAATCAATTACATTTGAGAAGAATTTTGTAATTGTTTGAATACTATTATGAGGCAGTAATGACATGAGTAGTCTGATTACTTTTGTAAGTATTACAATTACTCTAATGAGCTGCAGTGACCTAGACTGGGCTCCTCAAAAGTCTCTTTTGTATCTATTGTCTTTTACATAGAGTTATTACAATAAACGCTAGAGGCTCAAGTGGCGCTAGTGTGCTGTTGCATTTTGAAGCAGACAGCAAGCAGTCAGAAAGTGACTTCTGGTAATGCATGTCTATGGGAAAAAGCGAGTGCATTTTCTCTCTGCGATGGATTATAAGAGCAAATATCACAAATAATTCGTACGTACTAGGCACATAGAACATTTCTCAGTCATGCAGATGAAATAATTGGTCAGTTACAGCATTTTTATCTCAAATTCGTGGCAGGAAAAACGGTGTTAAAACCGATTCGTACGTGTATTTATGTGCACTGTCGGACACTGTTAGCGCGAACACGGCGTCGACGCTTTCCAGCATGGGGGATATACGTGCCAAACGAACGAAGGACATGTGGAAAACCAAGAAAGACGGCAAGAACTACGCAGTAACGCTGGATAAGTAACTCCTTGTGCACCCAGACAATCAAAATAGATTGAAAGCCACGTGATATAGTCAGATTTGCAATAAATAAGTACTGCTTTACTTTTTCTGCTCATGAATGTGTGCGAAGATGCTTGTTCTGGGTTCAAGTCATTACCCGCACGCTCCAAATCTTTGCAAATAGGGGGAGCCAGAGAGCAAGTGCCCGACAAAAACTGCGCGGCATAGGAAATAAAACGACACCTTTCGTAACTCCCGTGCTTTATTTTCTGCGTTCAAATGTTTCTTTAACCGATCGTAAAGATGCACGATGGAGTCGTTTTCATCCAATGACAGGACGGGCATATTAGCAATATTAAAGCACCACTGAAATGCTAGCAAACCTTGAACACACTCTACACTCCTTTTGATCGTTAGTGTGCTTAGAATCATCACTCGTTTTCACATACCTTCCTTGAAACAGAGTTTTGGGCCTGAAATAAAGCGAAGTTCAACATTGTTCAGTGGTAAAGAAAAAATGTTATAACTAAAGCGATTACACTTTCACAAAACCAATAAAGGTACATAGTATTTGGTACAACCGAAATGACAAAAGTTATTCATGTTATTTTCCGGCGAAGAGGCAAAATTCACGCGCGTTTTGCCATGCGAATACACAGGGAGGCTGGAAATGTAGACTGCGTGCTGTCTGCTTCAATTTGCAACCGGAAGTCTAGTAGACACTAGCGCCAGCTGAGCCTCAAGCGTTTATTGTAATAACTCTATTATCTTTTACTCCCCCCCAAGCCGCAAGTTCCTTTTAAGACGTTTCTTCCTTCCCTTTCCTAATCTATGCATTATTTCGTTCAGGCATTCTCGAAACCTGTTTCCTGCCGGGTGGCCCCAGTTACTTAAAAATGTTAAATTGCCACAACAATTTTTTTAAACATTAAAAAATGTATTAGCAACAATGAGCACAAGACACTGAGAAATTAATTAAGATAGAGTAGCAAATACTTTCAATCAAATGTACTTGCAAGATACCAAATTACTACCAAAGCTATTTCAAATAAAATATATTCAGTAGAGTGAGTGCAGCGCATTTGAAACCACCCAAAAGCTGCTCGCAACCAAGTATAGCAAATAATAAGACTAGCAAATACACGCACGACACATTCTTTGCTATCCGGATTTATCGAAATCATCGAGGTAAATTTACTTTTCCTCGTAAATCTATACAAAACAAAATTAGCAGTACGGTGTTAAGGGGATACTTCAACGAAATTCGAAATATACCCTCTCGCTAAAAAAGAAGTTGACTATAATCCACAATATCCGTAAATGACGATCCACGATTTGGAAAATAGTGCGCGCCACCTATCGCGCAACGCCGGAAACATGGGTGCGAGGCTGGATCGTGGTTGGAAAACAACTAGGCTTCGTGATGCATAGTTTTGGTTTGCCTTGAAATACGTGGGCGTAAAGCTCGTGCCCGCAAGCTGTCCGTCCGTGCAACCTTTTCTCCCTTTCCGGGTGCTGCAAAATCAACGTACCCGCGACAAAATGCGCGCTGCAGATCCGGCAGTGCTCATTCAGCTGCCATGGTGAGCGTGAGCCGTCCGTGTATCTTCGCCTCACGGCAGCTATCCAAGCTTCTCTTTTCGCAGGATACAACCTGGCCGACAAAAATTAAAAAAAAAAAAGCAAAAAAAACTTCTTTTTTTTTTTTTTTGCCGTAGAAGTAATTCTTGCAACCAAGCACAACACAGTGGCCCGGCATGACGAAAAAAAAGCGACTCGCGAACTGTCGCCCGGCCGTACTCGCTTCCGCACCTCTGTCGCAGCCTAGGAATAGCCGGCACACACATTTGTTTTCCAACCAAACACTCTGCTCGCGCATGCGCAGCAGCTTTTTTGCAAATCGTGGATTGTACGTTTGTATATTGAGCCTCCATGGCTGTATTTTTCGTCATAAAAGGCCCACTCTGGCGAGCGGTCGGAGAGCAGCCAGTGGAGAGCACGTGAATCCCCCGCAATCGTGACGTAGTTCGTCTCAGGACGAGCCAAGCTGCGGCAAGGCAGACGTCGAGAAGATGTCGTAGTCGCTTCAGAGACTGAAGCGGCTGCTTTTGTACGAATTTTGAGTGACAGGGTAATCTTCTATAATCTTGAAGAGGGACAATAGCGACTTCTGGGACACAGAGTCTCCGGGGAGAGGGGAGTTCCCCCTTCAGCTCTTCTCTCGTCGTGGCCGGAGGCGAGACACTCACCGTCACTACCTGTCAAGCTTCCTAGACGGACATTACAAACGAGACGTTAGCGACATCCACCAGGTGTTTTTTGCTAATCGTTTA